CCATGAGAATGGAAGTTGCAAGGACCGGGCTTTCAAGGCTCTTGTTTACTATTCTGATACCAGCACCTGAAACAGTGCTTGGAATGCAGTAAGTGTTCAGTGTCTGATGAATCAACAAATAAATGAGTAAAACCCTAGAATCAGTTAGGATGTTGGTTCCAAGCAATAGAAAGCCCAATGCAACTTAGTGTAAATGACAGAGAGACTTACTGGTTTCCTTAATGAAAAAGTCCAGAAGTAACTCACTCAGCTCTCTCCGGGTGAGGCCTGACCCAGCACTTCAACCGTATCCCCAAGGACCTGTCTGTCTCTCCACTAGAACTTCCAAGAAATCGGCTTCACCCCTGTGGTCCTCAGGTCACTGACTACGAGAACCCTGGCTGTGTGCTTCACAGTAATTATCCCTGCATATGTTAGGCACCTGCTCTGGCAGAGCCTGAGACAAATGTTGTTAGAACCTCCATTCTACAACGATGACACAGAGCCTTGGAGAGATGAAGTCATTCATCTAAAATCACAGCACAAGGGAGTGGGTTAATGACTCTCACGTTCATGTCACCGCCCCTTCCTTACCGATTACGGGCATTTTCACGCTGAGGAATAATAGCTGTTACATGCTCGGTACTTAACTCCGCGCCGGGCAGCTTGCTAGGACTCTGTTAACTTCTCTGTGACCTCGTTCCCTCCTCTGTGTGACGGGAATAACTATATGCCCACATGGGGCGACTGTGGGGCTTAAATGAGCCCCTATGTAAAACGGTGAGGATCTCAGAGAGCTTGTTTCAGGGAGCTGCTGCTGAGTGACACATCATCCCAAATCACAGTGGCTTAAAATCGCAACAACCATTTATTCGCTCGTGATTCTGTACTTTGAGCAAAGTGGAGAGGGCAAGGTGAATCTCCATTCTACGGGGTGGCAGCTGGGAGCTGGGTGAGACTATCCAAGATGGCATCACTCACGTCTGGCCCATCAGCTAACACAGTGGAGCCGCTGGGGGCTACTGGGCCTCTCTCTGTCCACATCTGTCTCCACATCTCTTTCCAGCAAAGTAGCTGGACTTCTTTGTACAGCAGCCCAGGGTCCCAAGAGAGGGAAAGCAGAAGCTGCTGGCCTCTTAAGGCCCCCAACCAGCACAGCATCACTTCCACGGCACTCTACAGGTCAAAACAAATTACAAGCCACTCTAGATTAAAGACGGGGAAGTCTTTTCTACTGACGGGAGAAACAGCAACAGCAAAGAATGTGTGGCCTTCTGTAGAGGCAGCTTTTTAAATCGCAGGAGAGCAGCCTTGTCACTGGTCTCGCTACTTTAATACTTAACCCCCTATCGTCAGTTCCCCCACACGACAGCCAGAGGGATCGTCTGACACACAAAACTGACCGAGCCTCCTTTCACGGCTTAAAGTCCTTCTGTGACTTCCCACTACACATGGGGTAAGAATCCGAACTCCTTACAGGGGCTACATGACCCGGCCTCTTCCTCCCTCTCCCCCGCCCCCCAGCCTCTAGGTTCCAACCAACACACACACACCTCTCTCCCTCACCTCTTTACCTTTTAAAAGATTTATTTATGAGAGAGAGTGTGGCGGGGGGGGGGTGGGCAGAGGGAGAGGGACAAGCAGACTCTGTGCTGAGCGCAGAGCCCCATGTGGGGCTCGATCTCAGGACCCTGAGACCATGACCTGAGCTGAAACCAAGAGTTGGACACTTAACTGACTGAGCCACCCAGGCAGCCCCACACTCTTACCTCTTAATGGAGCGCCTTAATGCCTATACCTTCATCACTTCAACCCCACTTCCTAGAGTCCAGATTAAATTTCTGGCCAAGTGCTCTTATGGCCCTCTCTACCTTTCTTTGTAATTTCATATCTGTGTGATTAGCTGAGGATTTGAGCTCCCACCCCTGAGACTGTGAACCCTCTGGGGACAGGGAAACTGTTCTGTTCTCTGCTGTGTTCCCGATGCTGAGCATGGGGCAGAGGCAAGATGAAATACCTGCTGAATGCCTGAGACCTCAGAAAACTTTAAGGCAGTCCTCCAAAGTTCTGTGGAAAAGGCATCGGCAGAGTCCCTAGGATGTTGGATCAGGATCTATGTCCTGCAAGCACCCACTGACCCATCCATTCAGTAAATAGTTATTGAGCCCTATGTGCCAGGAGTGCTTCTAGATGCTAAAGATAAAACATGAAGCAGACAAAAGCCCCTGTCCTCATGAAGCTTATGGTCTGCTGTGGGTGCAGAGAAGAGACAGACAATGAACACGATAAATAACCTATACAGTGAGTTAAACAGTGATGTGATTAATGCTAAGGAACAGTTAAGAGAAGTTAATAAACAAATGTTAGTGATATAATTCTAGAATGGTGGCCAGGGAAGTTCTCAAGGAGAAGATGGTATCTGAGTAAAGACCTAAAGGAGACGAAGGTGAGCCTTTACTATCTGGAGAAGTGTGTTCCAGGTAAAGAAAGTAAGTGCAAAGGCCCTGGGGTGAGTGTGGCTGCAGTAGGGTGAAAGGAGCAGGCAGAGGTGTAACACGGACAGATCATGCAGGGCTTTGCAGGGATCGTGGGCCTTGCAAAGGCCACGGAAAGAACACTGGTGATTACTGTGAGACAGAGCTACAGGACAGTACTGGGCATAAGAGAAATGTGACCTGATACAGGTATTCAGTGTCTCCCTGGCTGTGTATGAGAACAGACTGTGGGGAGCACAAAGACCAGAGGAGACTGCCGTGATAGTGTAGGCAGGCCATGAGTGGACAGGAAGAGGGTGACAGGAGTGGAGGTGGGAAGAAATGGTCAGGTTCTGAACATACTTTGCCGATGGACTAGACATGAATCTAAGACAATGAAGGAGGCAGCACTTACTGAGAATGTGGGAAGAACAGGTTTTGGGGGAAAGACTGGAGTTCAGTTTGGTCAAGATAGGTCTCTGGATGATTACAGGTATTTTGAGAGAAGATATATCATGTGGGTAGTCAGTCAGCAGGTCAGGGAGAGGTTCTGGGCTGGAAACAGAAATGTGGGACATACATTTCCATGCTTATCCTAAATTCCTTAAGGGACCTACATGATTTGGACCCTGCTGATTTCTCGAAGCTTATCTTGCACCTTGCCAGGTTAATGGTTCTCTCTCTCTCTCTCTCTCTCTCTCTCTCTCACACACACACACACACACAATCCTGGGCCTTCCACTTGCTAGCTATGTGATCTTGGGTAAGTTATTGAACTTATCTGCCCTCAGTATCCTCCTTTACAAAAGGGAGATCATAATAATAGCATCTGCCTCCTAGGACTGTTCATTCAAAAAAAATTTTTTTTTAATTAAGTATCTACAATATGCCACGTGCTGTTCTACCTGCTGGAGATACCTTTTTCCCTGCCCCTCTCTGCCTTCCCTTTCCCCGCAGCTTGTAAGCCATACACCCTGTCAACGCAGCCTTCTGAACGTCTCTCCTACCCACACCCTTTCTTCTGTCCCAACCGAGACTCCTGCCCTGGTTCATTCCCAACACCTCTTGCCCAGGATCGTGCCACAAACACCACCCTGGGCTCCCAGGCCCTAGAATCTTTCCCATCAGTCTATTCCTGGATGGCAGCAAATTGTGCCATGCCCCTTGCCTTCTTGAAATCCTCTCGTGGCTCCTCGATGCCCTTAGGACAAAGTCCAAGCTCCCTGAATGTCCGACAAAATCTTCCACGACCGAATTCATACAGAAGTTTCAATTAGATCTCCAACACCACATCTCCCGCAATTCACATTCACACATCAGGCTGTTTCTCATCGCCGCCTGTACGCAAACCACCGCACCACGGCCACCGCAAACATCCTGTCTCCAGGTCTCAACTCCGACAGCTCCCGCTCCTCCCGGAATGTTTCCCGACCCGTGCCTCGCCTGGGTTCCCTCCACGTTCCACCCTGCCCCCCTTCCCGAACATCCGCAGGTCCGTAAAACGGCGTCTTCGCCAGTCTCTCCTACCGACCGGGGCTTCCTGCGAGCTAAGCCAGACACCGCGGCTCGCGATGCTCCGCGCGATGGGGCCAATTCGGGCCTCAGAGCTTACCTCTTGCTCTGTGACCACAGACACCTAACTGCACGGTCTCGGGGAGCAGCACAAGTGGCCCACCGGCCACACGCCTGAAAGAATCAACACCCGCGCACATCCTTGCCGACGCCACCCAATCACGGCCTTCTCCTCCTCCACAGCCCGCCTCCAGCATCCGGGCCCCCGTCCATCTCTGACTGCCTACTGGCTGCCCGGGAGCCCGTCCCTAACTCGCGAGCGAAAAGAATCCTGGTCTTTGTAGTCCCCTGACGAAAAATGGAAAAAAGGACTGACAACATAGAACTCCACTTCCCAGGAAGCGCCGCGCCCCAGTGGCGGGAGAGGGTAGGTACCTTTGAATCGGAGGTTCTTTTTGGCCAGTTGGGAGACAAAAGTTTCCAAATTGCTATGGAAACAGACCCACTTACCTGGAACCCCGCGAATATATTTCTGCCCAGGAATCCCAAAATGCTTTGCTCCGTCATGGCTCCACAGGGTGAGACCAGACGTGGGGGGTAAATTCTGTACACACTGCCTGCCTGCCATCTCCCAGATGGCACCCAATAAGGCCTGCTACATGCATTCAGCACCTACTAGATGCCTGCCTGGCATAAGGAGCCACTCCTGTGCAGACTCTGTGGAAGCCCTGGCTTATTAGGGCAGATCCTGATGTTTTCCAGAGACAGGCCAGAGCTGGGCCTTTCTTCTTTCAGGGTCTCTGTTTACCATGGAAAAGACAAATGTGGGCTACGATCCTATCCAGATCTCTGTCTAGGATTCTGTAGCCCCAGACCTCCTGCAGCCCCATGTCTGCGCCAATAGCCGTAACTTCCCCAGGGACGCATCCCACATGACAAAGCTCTTCTGGTACCCCCTCCCCAAACACTGTGCCCCACCACGCCTCTGAGGGCCAGGTGAGGTGAGCCGAGGTCCTGCAAACGCTCAGGCAGGCATGTGAGAAAGCTCTTTACTGGGGGGTACAGCAAGGAGGAGCAAGGCCATCTCCCCCTACCTGCCCCCACCCCCTCCTAGGGCCCGACGGTGAAGGGGGTCTCCCCTGCAGACACCGGACCACCACTGTCTTTGGTACAATAAATAGAAAACAAGGGGGGGAGAGGGGCCAAGGGTCCAGTCCTTGGGGGGGGGTGCGCCTAGACCCCTCTCCTTGACCCCCTGCCCCAGGCCCCAGTCAGTGCAGGCCTCACCCACCCCAGCTGGGTAGCAGCAATTCCAGTCAAGGGGAGAGATGAGGATGGGAGCCCAGGGCCCCCAGATGGGGGGGGTATGGCTTCAGGAGGGGCCCCAGGGAGGGGGCTGGGTCATGAGCTGGCTGCCGTGCTCTGGGGTACACCACGGAGGCCCAAGCGAGGCCCCAGAGTGGCAGGGTTATCAGGGGGTGGGAGGGGTGGACGACCTCCTGTCATCCGAGTCCGGAGGGCTGAGGCAGCCGGGTGCTGGGGGGCAGGCGCTGGGTGAGGTGGGGAGCAGTCTGGAGGGCCGCCCGCCAGGCTCACATCCATCAGCTCTGGGGGTGGTGGTGAGGTTGGTGATGGGGGACGGCCAAGGCATCGGGGTTGAGGGGGTAACTGGGCCCCGGCCCCCGGCAGTGACGAGGCAGAGGCAGGGGCCTGATGTGTCTTGTGGGGCACATCACCCCCTGCCCAGGGGCGCAGCGGCTGGGAGGGTGGGACCTAAAGGAGCAAAGGAACAGTGGGTGATGGAGACCCAGGTCCTGAAGTCTCAGATACCCCACTACCCACCACCCAAGGCCCCAAGGCCCCAGTACCTGGGGGCTGTTCATCTCACAGTCAGTGACGGGGGGCCCAGGGCCCCCACAATATCGGTTGCTGTATCGGTAGGTCCGGTTGTCACTGGAGGAGCCGCTGGAGCCTCCTGGAAGTGCCAGGGGAGAAAATAAGGAGAAGCCTTAAGTGAGGAGAGGTGATGGCTGGGCTTCTGGGTGGCTGAGTCTGGTTCGTGACCCAGGCCCAGGCCTGGGCCTTGGGACTAGAGCCTATTTGAAGGATGGGGCCCAATTTTGAGATTATAGGTCAGAGTTCAGTTTTGGGTACCAGAGTCAGAAGCAGTTTTAGAAGCGTGAGCCCAAGCTGTTTCAGAGATCAGGTCACGACCGGTCAAAACTCTCTTTGCCCCACCCATTCTGGAGTTCAGGATGGCGCAGCTTCACAGCTCTAGGTGAAGGCCCAGTGGGGCAAGGTCCCCCAGGTCAGGCCGAAGCAGAGCTGCCCGCCCCCACCCCGTTCGACCCCACCTGGCACTGGGCACCCACCAGAGCTGGAGATGGAGCTGGCGGTGCTGGAGGAGGGACAGGTGTCAAGGGGTGCGGGCGAGGTGGAGGCACTGCTGCCTGCCGGGCCCGTGTTGGTGGCCTCATCAGCCGTGCGGCGGAAGAAGCTGTGCTGCAGAGCCCCCAGTGGGCTGATGCGGGCGGCGGGCTCATACTCCAGCATGCGCAGCACCAGGTCCTGGAAGCGGAGGTAGTCGGCGGGGCTGTGGCCCGGCTCCCCCGCCCGCCGGCCCCCGGGCCCGCCCGTCTGCACGCCCAGCACCTCCTGCAGCCGCCGTGTCCCGGGGCCCTGGTAATCCTGGCAGGGAGGGGGTGGGAGGGGGGGCAAGAGAGTGGCCGTCAGTGGGCAGGAGGGGCAGGGAGACACACACGGGGAAACAGAGGCACGAGAGAGAAAGTGGAAGGAGAGAAGCTAAGAAGAGTTGTGGGGTGGGTAGGAGAGATGGGGTGGGCCAGGACAAAGGAAAGGACAGACAAGGGGGAGAGGAAGTAAGGGAAAGACACAAGGGAGAGGAAGCAGGGAGAAAGGAAGCCCCAAGTGTGAGAGAGTGAGGGGCCACCAGGGTGGGAGGAGCGGCATGGGGCAGGGGCCGCACCTTCCTGAGTTCCTTTGTCCTTCGTAGGGTCCAGCCACCCCCAGGCAGCCGTTCAAAGTACTTGCGAGCCTTGGGTGCCTGGTCCAGCATGGGGGCTGGTGGGATACCCAGCACCTCCACAATCCGGTTCATCTGGTCCACCTGTGAGCAGGTGGGCAGTCAGGGTCAGCAGGCCAGCCAGGCCTCCGCCCCCTCCAGCACACCCCCTCCCTGGGAGCACACCTCATTGGAGCCACTGAAGAGGGGCTCTCCGGTGTGCATCTCCACCAGGATGCAGCCCAGGGACCACATGTCAATGGCCAGGTCGTAGGGTGTGCCCAGGAGCACCTCAGGTGACCGGTAGAAGCGGCTCTGGATGTACTGATAGATCTGGGGACGGAGCGGGGGAGAGAGCAACAGTCAGAGGTCCCAGGCTCCCCGAGCGGTGCCGCTGACATACCCAAAACCAAGACAAGCTTCCTGCCACGAAAATGGAGCATGGGGGTTCCAAACCTTGAGGTTATCACACCCACTTTCCAGGAGCCACTACCATCATTTTATTCATCAGCCTCAGAAGTCTCTGCTGGCCTAGTCTGACCCTCATCTCCAACCCGAAGCCTGACTCTGGACCTCTCTTGGTCATCAGAGGTTGGCAGGCTGTGAGCCCAGGCCCTTCCCACCCACCAGATCCAGACCCTTCTCAAGCCATCTCAAATGCCTCACACGAAGCTGCAAAACTAAAGCACCCGGCCCCCCACTCCCTCCTCAGTTTAAAGAGCTCAGGGTAACCAAAACTTAGCCAAGTGCCACTCCTGGCTCAAAGCCAACCCAACTCCACCCTGCCCATCTCTGACAGTCTCAAAACTGGCCCTGCCTCCCCAGCTTCACTCTTCCTTTCCTACTGGGTACTATACCCTACGGCCCTCTCCTTTACCTCCCCCATCCACCGGCCTTACAACTCTGTGCCACCAATGCCCCATCCCAACACTACCCTTCGGGCACCGGCCACCTCGGGCGGCACCCTACAACCCCAACCCCAACCCCAGCCCCACCCCGCCCCTCCGGCGCCAGCCAGCAGCTGGCCCCGCCCCTGCCACACCCACACCGCGAGCCCCGCCCCCGGGCCGGGCCGCTCCGCACCCGCTGGCCAAGCTGGCAGGAGCTGCCGAAGTCCACGATCTTGATGGCGCTGCGCTTGGGGTTGCAGAGCAGGATGTTCTCGGGCTTGAGGTCGCAGTGAATGATGCTGAGCTCGGGCGTGGCCAGGAAGAGCAGCGCCGTGCAGAGCTGCTGCGCCAGCTTCCGCGTCAGGTTCAGTGAGACGCCGCGGAAGTGTGTGTTGCGCAGGAGGTCGTACAGGTTGTAGGAAAGCAGCTCGAACACCAGGCACAGGTGGTTCCGGAACATGAAGTGCCGCTTCAGGTGCACTGCGGGCAAAGGGATGGAAAGGGGCCGACAGAGAAGGTGAGGCTCAGAGAGGGCCAGTGGCGGCGGCCTTATTACTGTGTACCAAGAAGAGCGGTCGGAAGCCGATCGGGGACTCTGCTTCTGCAGCTCTGGCCAAATTGTGGGGTGCCCACGGGAAGCGGCTGCTAGTCAGGGTGTTTTCTTTGTTTGTTTGTTTTTAAAGATTTTATTTATTTATTTGACAGAGACACAGCGAGAGAGGGAACACAAGCAGGGGGAGTGGGAGAGGGAGAAGCAGGCTTCCCGCTGAGCAGGGAGCCCGATGTGGGGCTCGATCCCAGGACTCTAGGATCACGACCCGAGCCAAAGGCAGACGCCCAACGACTGAGCCACCCAGGCGCCCTAGTCAGGGTGTTTTTATATGGTCTAGAACTTGATTCACATGAAGAGAATGATTTCCTTGATTAAGAGAAGTTCATTCTCTTCAAGGCTCTGTCAAACTTTCTGATAAAGAGAACGTTTCCCTTTGGTGCTGATGGGTCTTTAATGCCCTTCTACATTTCCTCATTTAATTTTGTAACTTTTAGTCTCAGTTCTGCTTATTTTTGTGGCAGCGGACACTCGTTTTCCATTTAGGGTAAGGATGTGTATTTAAAGAAACACACTCTTTCTGTCCACTTGCTTTTTGTAAGAGGAATCGGTATAAGAGGAAAAAGACTGACATAGCCGTTGAGAGTACAAGCATTGGAGCCCCGTGCCTGGTGAGATCACAGCCCCCCCCCCCCCACCGAGTGCAAAAGCTGTGCCCTTATGCAAGTGATAGCACCTGAATGCTTCTGTCTTCTCCAAGCTGTGGGCCAAGATACCCCTTCCCCCCAGGGCTGTGGTCAGACTGAAACCAGTTGATTCATGTCAAGTGCTTACATTGGGGCCTGACCCTTAGCAAGCACCCAATAAACTCCGACCAGCACCATCATGGGAATAGCGCAAAAGTTATGAACATAGGCAGCAGGAGAATCACTGATGTCAGGGAATTCCAGACTGGCCCCTGCCCGGAAGCTGCCAGCCCCACCCTGTCCTGGGTGTACCGCGGCCCCCAGCCTCACCTATGTAGTACTTCATCTCTGTGTCGTGCTGGTTCATCAGCTCCAGCAGCCGCAGCTCAATCTGGGCCTGGTTCAGGAAGGCCTTTTTGTTCTTGATGATCTTGATGGCCACCAGCTCCTGGGTCTGATGGTCATAAGCTTTCACCACCTGCCGGGGCGGGGCGTGTCACAAAGTGAGGAAATGGGGGGGAGCGGGGCGCCACTTTCTTGTGGGCCAACGTCAGTGGGTCCCCGTGCTCTCTGAGCCCGGGGTCAGGGTGGAGGGGGCCGCCCACACCTGGCCAAAGGAGCCCTTGCCGATGAGCGAGTCAATCTCGTAGCGCTCCAGCCAGCGCTCGCCGCTACGCACAATGTAGTCGTGGTTGTCATCGTCATAACCATGGTTCAGGACCTTCTTCTCCTTCTTGGTGCTCGGGTCCTGGGGCGGCGCTTGCTGGGCCCGCCGCTTCTTCTTCGCATAGTACACCTGCCCGGCCGGTCAGCCAGAAAGTGAGGACGGCTGCATGACCTGTGCCAGCAGGCAGGCCCCCCCCCCCCCCCCCGCCAGGCCCCCAGCCGGGCCCCCGGCCCCGCCCCCGCCCACCTCATTGATGTGCTTGTAGGTCTTGATGAGGTCCACGGAGAGCTTGCGCAGCGGGGCTGAGGTCGCGTCCCGGAAGGCCAGGGGCAGCCTCCGTGGCAACAGCCGCACATCAGGCAATACCTGCGGGGTCGGGGCGGGGGGTGGGCACTGAGGAGAGGCCTTCACCTCCGACCGCAGAACCCTCTGGGCGGCTGGGTCATTGTTACCACACACAGATCTACTTGGTTACTGGGTGACAACCCCACTGGGATAGAAATTCCCCAAGGGCAGGGACTGTCTGGTTCTTGCTCTATCTGCAGTGCCTGGAGCAGGGCCTGGCACATAGTGGGTGGTCATCAGAGATTTGCTGAGTGAATGAATGGTCAACTGTTTACCCCTGACCTTTCATCCCACACCTTTACTCCTTTCTGAACCTCTGTGGGAGAGATCAGATAGAAAACGTGGGGTCTGTCCTTCCCAATCCTTTGCCTGAGACCATCCATTCTGGGTGTCCCAACTTGAGGGCTGCCATCATGCTTTACCCTCATCCCATGGGGTCTTCCCATCCCTCACCCCCAACTCTGCACGTTTTTGCCCAGTCTTTCGGGATCCAGCACCCTGGACCTCCTACTCCATCCTGTGTCAAGCCCTACAGTTCAGAGCCTTGACAATCTCCACCCCTGAATATCTTTACTCTGTACCCTAAGATGCTGCTGGCTCCAAAATCCTTTGGGCTCAAACTTCACCCCCTTTCACCCCACCCGCCCATCTCTCACTATGGACCTTTCTTCCTTTGTGAACATTTACTGAGTGTTTCCTAGGTGCCAGGCACTGTTCTCAGCATTTTACATGCATTTCATTAACTTGTTTAACCTCACAGCAACCCTGCAAGGTAGGTATCATTCTTGGTTCCATTTTACAGAACAGAAAACTGAAGCAGGGAGAACCTGAGTCATTGAACCACCATGTCAGGATTTGAACCCAGGCTCTCCAAACAGCAACTCCTCTATTATCTTCTACTCCAGATGGGCCCTTCTGTCCCCAGGAGACTGCTCTGGGCAGCCTATCTTTCACTCCCAAGACCCTTCTATCCCCAGCCTCCCCCTGCCCCAGGCATGTGAGGAGCCAGCTGAACGCATACCTGCGTGTGCTCCTGGGGCCCCGGGAAGCCAGAGAAGGGACCATGGCCTGGTGGGACGGCCATGGTGGGCTCAGAGGGCCGCAGGGGAGCGAGGCCTGGAGCGGGAGCCCGGCCGGGGGGCGCCTTCTCGCATCCTGCACCTCGGCTGCCACCGCCGCTGAGACCTGAGAGCAGGCGGGAGGCAGGGGAACAACATGGCACAAGCGGATGTGGGGGGACGGGGCCAGGCGGAAAGAGGTGGACATCAGAGAGAGAAGGCAAGGCACAGGGGCAGGAGAAAAAGGACAACAGGTGGCAATGAAGAAAGGGGACAGAGAGAAGTGGTAGGGCAGGGGGGCGGTGGTGGCACAGCGAAGTCCCTCAACAAATGATTACCAAATAAATGAAGTAGGTGGCCCAAAGAGGGGAACATGTGAAAGGGGATGATTGGAAGCCAGGCAGGGGGATAGGCCATGACAGGAAAGGACAGAAAGACACCAATAATGGGGGGAGGAAGAGAAGAAAAAGAAACCACAGACAGTAGAGGGAGGAGGCTTCAACTCTTTGCTTCCCATTTCTGCTTGTGGCCCTCCCCAGCGCCCTCTCACACAAGATCCTGCCCTCCTGCAGTCTCCCCTGATTGTCAGGATCTCCTGTCTTATCACAGCAAGGTCCCTGCACTTCAAGATCTACCCTTCCCAGTAAATCCCTCAATCCAGAGAACTCTAGGATCCCCCCAAACCACATGAGAGAACTCTGGGCCCCCTCCAAACCCAAAGCAGAGTCCTCTGCAGGCCCCTAAAACCACATCAGGGTCCTGGGACCACACCAAGGCTATCTGGTTATATAGGGTTGTCCCTATATAAAAGAGTCCTACCCTATGACATTCTCATCCATCAGGGCACTCTCTTCCCAGGGGACCCTCCCCCTATCGTGCCAAGCCCTCATCCCTATACCCTTTCCTCCCATATTAGGGACTCCCCCCCCCCCCCCGCAGGTACTTTCTCTTGCCACATCAGGGATCTTCCCCATATTAGCCCCAGTCCCCCTCCCAATCAAGGCTCACTTTTCCTGATGAGAGCAAAGAGGAGGCGTCGTCTCTTCGCTCGCCCTTCTCTCTCCTACGCTGTATCTTCCCCTCCTCCCCCCATCCAATATTCCTACCAGGGCCCTTTCTCCAGTTACTCCTTTCTACATCAGGGTCAATCCACAACTGTGCCCATTCCTAGAAGGCCCCCAGAACCAAATCCCCCAAATATCACAGAGAGTTCTCCCCTCCCAGAGTACCTGCCACACCAAAATCCTCTCCCCACAGGCCTTCTCCCATGTCAGTCCCTTTCGCCTATGCCAAGCCTTGCCACTCCACGATCCCTCCTCTCTCTTGGAACTCCCCCGCCCCTCACCCGAAACAACCTCTTCCCTGGGGCCCTCCCACAGCAGGACCGACTCTCCCAGCACCCACCCCCTACCCGGGTCAGGGCTGGCGCGGGGCCCACGGGGGGCTGGGGCGCGGTGGAGCCCCCAGTGGGGTGGGCGAGCGGCCAGCATGGCGGCGGTGGCGGCAGAGAGGAGACGACCGCCTGTCCCGGCCCGGCCGGCCCGGCAAGCCCCGCGGCGGGGAGGGCAAGCGGGACAGGCGGCCCGGTGGGTGACAACAGCAGCCGCCGCCGCCGGGGGCGGAGAGAGGAGGGAACGAGGGTCAGCCCGGGGCACGCGGGGGAAGGGGAAAGCAGGTGGACGGGGGAGGGGCGGGTTAACCCTCGCCCCGCCGGCCCCGCCCCGCACAGCCACCCGCCCCTGGGGACCCAGGCGTCCCGCCCCCCACCCTGGAGACCCGCCCCGGTCGCCGGAGCCCCGGCGGGCGGGGCCGGACAGAGCTTGGCAGTCCGCACCTGCCATGGCAACAACCGTGCCATTGGCCGATGCTTCCAAGAGCTCAGCCAATCGCAGTTCAGAACAGCTGTTGCTAGGCGACGACGATGCAGCCAGAGGAGCCGAGCCCAAACAAAGGGCGGGAGCGGGGCCCCGCTACCCCCTCCCAGCCTCCCTCCCAAGACTGCTCCCTCGGGCTCGGCCCCTTCCAAGAATCCGACTATGAATAGCTAGGCACGGCCTGCACCTGCCCGCCGCCCCCCTGCTCTCCTCCCTCGGCCTCGTGCTAAGTCTGGCGGCGACGCGGGCAGGGCGGGTCCGTACTGCCCCCTCCCCGCGAGCTCGTGCAGCCCCACCTGTAGCCGCGTTGTTACCTGAGGGCGCGGGCAAGGGGACTCAAGCTGCTCGGGAAGCCCGAGCTCAGACCTGCCCACTGGCTGAAGGTATCCGGCGGACGCGGCGAGCCAGGGCCCCGATTACCCAGTAATGCAACCAGCAAAATGGCGACCACAACAAACCGGCCCCCCCCACCCCAGGCTCCGCCCCCACCCCCCATTCGCTTCCCCCACGTGACCCAGGGTAACACTCCGCGCCTGCGCCCAGCGGAGCTTACCGGCAGACACACACAGTAAGCTACCAACCCCGCCCAGGCGGCGGAACCCGGGTTACGGCTGCGCAAAAGGCAGCCAAGAAAGGAGCATGCGCACGACTGACCGGATGAGCTTGCCCATCCCCACCACCGGGCCAGTTGACGAATGGCGCATGCGCCCTGTGGAATGGTGGTCGCTGAGCGATCAGGCCCCAGGAGTGGTGGATGAAATTTTTGTTTTTAGGTAGGCCGGGCTTGAACTCACAACCCTGAGATCAAGACCTGCTCTGAGATCAAGAGGTCCACGCTTAAGCGACTGTGCCACCCAGGTGCCCCTGGATGAGTCTTTTAATAGAAAAACACACGTGAAACAGTAGCAACACAATCTCCTGGCAATCCAGATGGTGCGGGGCTTCAGTTCTTCACCTTGGGAGGTGGCCTGTGAGAGGAAGGAGAGAGGGGATTCAGAGCTTATCGCCATCTGGGGCACTCCTACCAAGTGCTGACCCGCAGGGCTTTGTCTGGGTGGGCTGCCCGCCCCTGCTCACCTGTACACACCCACCACCACTGCGTGGTCTCTTTCATATGGCTCTAAGGTCAACTGCTCCTGGGGCTTCATGTTCTCCTGCTGCATCTTCTTCACTTCAGAGGCAAACACAGCCTCAGCAGAGGCCGTGGAGTCAATGCAGTTGGCCTGCAGAAGAGAGAATTTGAAGCTTGCAGCAAGGCTTTGGGCTGTTTTCCCTTTTTTCTGCTCTTTAAACCACAAGTTGTTTTCATTGGAAACTCAGTGAAACTCAGGTTTTGGAAATGTAGGGAAAGACTTCATTAGAGAAGTTTTCAATTTGGTTTGGATTTGGAACAGGAAGACTTCAACAGAGACCTATTTATCTTAAAGCCAGTGTTTCAATTTTACACCCAGGGTTCCCCCCCACTTCCTCTTCTTTAACAATGTAATAATGCTGAGAATACTAAAACAAATGCAGCAAAAGGCTAACAAATGGTGAATCTGGCTGAAAATCTTTATTTCAAAATAAAACGTTTTTCGAAATGCATCTAGCACTCATCTAAAATTTATTTTGTACCAGACTTTATAAACACTACTTATTGATAAATTTAATGCTTACATCAACACTAAAAGAGATATGACTAATATTTCTACTTGACAAGTGAAACAAGCACACAGGTTAGGTAACTTGCTGAGTCACAGAGCAAGCTGGAATTCAAACTCAAATGGTCAACTCAGCAATCATGCACTCGACCACTACTGATCATTCTATCGCCTATTTAAACCCGAAGTTTTTTTAGTTTTGTAGACATTTTTCATCATGTGCTATTTGACTAGGGGTTGGGGGGCAGGGATAGAGGCTGGGAATAGACTACCTGGATTAGGGAGGATGGAGACCCCCTTGTTTTTGACTAGCTGCTTGGCAGTTACAAAGAAGGTACTACCATCCCATCTTAGACTCCTCTAAGCCCCGCACCTTAATAGAAATCACAAAGTGTCCTCCGTTACGAAGGAAAGTGTGGGCATTCAGGGCTACGATCCGGGTCTGGTCTGGCTGGGCCACATCGGCAAAGATCACATCCACCATTGCTAGGGAGAAAGAAGTGGCAGTTACAAGCTGGATCCACCCCATCTTCCCAGCTCCTCCCATGAGGCCTGTGCCCCAACACCATGTTTCTGGCAGTCTTCCCTGCTTCCAGTCTCCCTTCCCCCATTGATTCCCTCCCTCCACAGTGCCCCCAGGATGGGTCCAAAACCCAATCACACCATCCATTCATTCCTCTTGTAAACCATGATTGCCACCTCCTCTGTGGCCAGCCCTGGGCCAGGTGTGGGGGACAGAGACAAGTTAGACCCGGACCCTGCCCTCGAAACGCTCCCAGGTCTGGGAGGAGACAGACACGTCATCAATAAAGCAAGTAAAGATGAGCACTTACAGGCAAGAGTGTCTGCGGGATTGTCAAAGGAAAATAAGTTGGAGGACAAAAGGGTATGGTATGAATGCATGGGAAAAAAAAACCCCTCAAAATCAGCGGAATGTGAGGTATTATTTTTAAGCCAGTGTGATTGAATAAAACAAACAAAAACATGACATAATGAAAATTGACTTTTTTAAGCTGGGAAAAGCAGACATGAAATTGCTCATACTGGTTACCTCTGAGGGTGGTTTATAATGGTTTTACATTATACATCCAAAAAAAAATTTTTTTTTTAAAACACAGTAATATTCATAATGGGCCCCTCTGGGCCAGACCACACTCAGTTTGTGCTTTCTGGGTTATGATCACCCCAGATGATGAGGAGGAGGACCTCTGAAGGGGGCTGTCATACGTAAGCCAGCAGCAGCATAAAAAGTACCATGTTTTAGAGGGAGGCAGGACGTATGGGAGTACCCAGGGAGAGGGGCAGGAGAGGTCGAAGGAAAGGAGGTCAGCCTCTCAAGGGGTGCCAGACACCCAAGCTCCACAGCCTCACCTGGCTCCCCTCACCCTCTTCATTCCTACAGACTCAGGAGGCCTGCTCATCTACTGTGATTCCATTCCAGTCAGGGCTCTGGCTACCTCTTCCAAAAAACCTGGAGTGGCCTGGCCTACACCACCTGAGCCAACCCCTAGACCCCTCACCGATGAGCATGCGGTATTTGTGTGGGTGCCGAGCATCTTCAATAACAGGAATAATGTTGGTCCTCTTCTTGGCTAAGTTAATGAGGTCACGGCCAGAGCGGTGGGAGAACTCAACTGCATAGACTAGACCGTCCTAAAAGAAATCAAATAATAAAAACACCGATACCAGTTCTTAGATGGAACACCACTTTGGGCCCAAACACTACATGTAGCATCTATTCAAATCCCTGAATCAAAACCCTTTTGACAACTATTGTTGCCAAGGGTTATTCAGTCCCTCTGCACTTGATCTGAGAGCCCAGTCCCCCAATACAGGCTTCAAACCAGGAAGCCAGGGCACAGCGATGAAGTCCTAACAGCTAAGAATATTTACAATGGGCCAGGCACTGCTCTGAGTACTTTACAGGAATTCACTCGTTTCTCTTCACAGCAACCTGATTTTCCAGGGTGGTAAACTGAGGCTCAGAGAGTTTAAGTAACCTGCCAAAAGCCACCTCACTGTTAAATGCCCACACCAGAGCCTGGGATTTGTAACCACTAAATGACACAGCCTACAGTCATGCAGAGGAGCTGGGGGTCCTGAAGTGAGATGTGGGGGGGCCCGCTAACCAGGGAGCCTGCACAGCAACACAGAAATGCAGGCCCAGAAACTGACATCTGTTTTTTTCAGAGAAACCAGAAGACCAGATTTGGAGGCATACATTTTTAAAGAGGGCAACCAAATCCAACAGTCTCCACCCTAGGCCCCTCTAACTGCACTTCCCCCAACACACATGTCTCTTCCCTCCAGACCAAGAACTCAGGAGTGAGACTAAATGAGGCTTTGGAGACCAGATGCTTGAAGCTGCTTCTTCTACCACAAGCACTCTGAAGGAAGGGCCTAGCCCCAAGCCACACAGTGCAGGGAAGCAGCCAGGGCCAATGACTCCAGGCTGGCTGAGAGGCAGCCTCTCCCCTCCCTTCCACCACACCACCTGCCCTTACTCGCCCCTCTTTACCCCTCCATCCACTCACCGCGCCTACGATGTCAGAGACGTGGGAGACAGTGGTGCCTGATGCAGCCCCAAGGTAGAGCACCTTGGCCCCTGGCTTGATATGGATCTGGTCCACGCCGCCCAGGATTGCTGCTGCCAGCTTGGAGCGGAAGGGGTTCCAGGCACGGTACTCGATTTTGTCGTCTCCCTCCTGGGCCGGGAGAGATGGGGGGGGGGAAGTCAGTGCCAGGCTTTTCTGCTTGACCCTACTGCCCTTAGCCCTAGGGCCCTGGGCGCTCGTTCATTGTTCAAGAAATGAACATAGATGCACGTCGGTGACCATGACAGATGCAGTACCCGCCCTCTCATGGAGGTTACTGACTCAGGTAGAAGGGGCAGGGACAGACAATAAACACAGAGATAAAAGATCATACCCATTACCAGCAAGACCTGTGCATTCATTCACCAAACATTCGCTGTGCAGCATATACTGTGGGTCAGACCCTATGCCAGGCACTAGGGACGCACAGTGTATGAGACCAAGACCCTTGTCCTCAGGGATAAGTATACACTGAACTAACACATACAGTACCGTAGCCAGTGACAGCTGCTAAGGCAAAGATCAAGGAAGGAGGACATGAAGTAGGAGGAATGGGCTGAGGAACATGGGAAAATGACACAGGGTAGCCAGGGAAGAGCCCAGAAGGAGACATTTGCAGTAGAAGGAGGTGGGGGCCAAGCAAGTTACCTGGGGAAGCACATTTGAGGCAGTAGGAAAGGCAGCAGAAAGCCCCAAGCAGGAGTGTGCTTGGCCGTAAAGAAAATGACACGGGATAGTAGGGCAGAGTGTGGGCAGGAGGGCTGCTTGTGACAGACTGGGTGGCGCAGGCGGCCTTGTGAGGAAGGGAACGAGCCACACACAGCCGGGAAAGCAGTGTTCACGGCAGAGGGAAGAGCAGGAGGTCTGTAGAGCTGGAAGACACTAGGCCAGGGGGTAGGCAGCGGGAACTGGAGTGTGCAGGGTCTCCTGGGCCACACTGAGGACCTGAAGGCAATGGGGATCTGACTTATGTATTAAGATGACCCCCCCAGCCCCGCGGCTGGCATGTGCAGGACACGTGGTGGGGGCGGGGAGACCAGACCGCGGGCTACCCTGTTAGCTGGGGCCCTGGGCTCACCGCAATTGAGACTCTCTTCTCTCCATAAACCGATTCTCCAGGGACCAGATTTTTGGTGACAAGTGCATCTTCCTTCCCTCGACAAATGAAGACACCTAAGCGAGGAGACCAGCACAGGGTGAAGACTCCGGGGTGCACCCCACCCCACCCCACCCTCAGCAGCTCCCGGCCCTCCTCACTCACCTTCATGCCGATGAGGTTCCACCATCACATTCTTCCCCGACTGGTTTCCTCTTTTCCCTCCCCGACCACGACCCCGGTTGCCACCAGACTGGAAACCTCCACCTAAAAGGCAGAGAGGCAGTGAGACAGGGAGATCCCATGATCTCTTCCCTCCCCGAGCCCCAAGCCCAGGCAAAGCCTCCTGACCATTTCCCCTCCACTCACCACCTCGTCCTCCGCCTCCTCGGCCTCGGCCCCTAAAGCCGCCACCACGACCTCTGCCCCCGCCAAAGCCTCCTCGGCCTCCACCACGACCACCACGGTCACCAAAGCCCCCTCGGCCACCGAAGCCGCCCCCACGGGGGCTGAAACCTGTAGTGGCCACAGAAAGGGGAATCAGAGAAATGAGGTTGGAGAAGTTATGTCTCATAATCGCACCGGGCGGCGTCCACAATATCCACAAGAGCAGAAAAATCAGGACTAACCCAGACGTCCATCGGCAGAATGGGCAGAATAAGCAACAATGACAAGGATCTACAGTTACACACAACAGATAAATAGATCTTAGGGTCATAATGTTAAGTGAAAAAGAAAGTTGAAGAAAACCACATCCAACACAGTATCTTTTATAAAGCTCAGCAACAACTAAAATTAAACAATGTCATGCTATAACCCACCTGCTATGCCGCTCCCCCCAGAGGCCAAGGGGATGATAAGGCAAAACTCACAGTACTGGAGATTTGGGTAGGGGGGGGAATACCTAGGTAGATGTAGGTTACTGGCAATGTTCTGCTTTTGTTGGTCAGACAGCAGATTTGCAGAATCCACTCTATTTTCAGTGTTAGTGTGAAGAGGCGAAAACACCACGCGTGTGCGCACATCATGGCAGTAGGGTCCCCCAGACCCTGGAAACATTTCCATGCCCTCCCACTCCTGAACTTGGGTCTGGAAGCAAAGGGCCAACCCCCAAACAGAGGAGAGGTGGGCATGATGTCTTTCCTGCTACCCGATCTCCCTGCTCGCAAACTTGCATAAGTCTCTCCTAGCTCAGGGAGGAAAAAAACAAGAATAAAAAATCAAATTGTCCTTTATGGATGAATGACAGTGCATAAGCAATTTAGGGCTTGTCAATGGGACTGAAAGTTGAAGGAGAAAAAAAAGATCCAAGGAGACGATTTTCATCACCTTAAGTCAGAGCAAACCTGTTCACTGAGCACATAACAATGGCGGAAGTAGATGGAATTCTGGTGCCAACAGATTCAGTATCTGACTTTTCTGTACCAGTGTCCTAAGCTCCGCAGTACTTTCAGCAAAACACGAGTTATAAAACAACAGGGTGAAAATTAGTGATGCTTTAAAATGATCTCACATGATGTCAACTATTTAATAGTAAACTTGCCACAGTTTGTTTGTTTGTTTTTTAAAAGATTTTATTTATTTATTTGACAGAGAGAGAGAGACAGTGAGAGGGAACACAAGCAGGGGGAGTGGGAGAGGGAGAAGCAGGTTTCCCGCTGAGCAGGGACCAGGATGTGGGGCTCAATCCCAGGACCCCAGGATCATGACCTGAGCCGAAGGGCAGATGCTTAACGACTGAGCCACCCAGGCGCCCCCAGAGTTACTGTAAAGGTGCGTTATTATATTCATGTGTTATGAAAGCTTCACGCATTGCAATGGTGTCAAAGATGAAAATGTAGCGGCGCCTGGGTGGCTCAGTGGGTTAAGTGGCTGTCTTCAGCTTGGGTCATGATCTTGGGGTCCTGGGATCAAGCCCCGTATCAGACTCCCTGCTTGGAGGGGAGTCTGCTTCTCCCTCTGCCTCTGTTCCCGACCCCACCCCAGCTCTTGTGCACTCTCTCTCAAATAAATAAAATCTTAAAAAAATTTTTTTAAACGATAAAAATGGAGAACTTTTCACCATTATTACTAATTTAAGTGTTATAAATTAAGTTTCAGAACTCCTGAGAGTTGTCTACCTTAACTCCCTTACTCCCTCTACAGTCTCCTGTCCACACGGCAGCTAGTGATTGACCTTTTCCAAACCACAAAACTGGATCTCTTCATCCCCCTGCTAAATCCTTTCAGTGGTTTTCCATCACACTGAAAATGCAACCAAAACTCCTTTCTCTGGCTTCCAAAGCTCGAAATCAGTGGCTCTCACCTTTGACTAATCCCTGGAGCCTAGAGATCCTGATTTAGGTGTCAGGTGTAGGGGCCTGAGCATAGGGCTTTTTAAAGTTGCCCAGGCGATTCTAAATGTGCAGCCTGAAGTAAGAACCACCATCACACGGCTCTGGCTTCCACTGACTTTTATGACCTCACTCTTTCTATGCCAGGCCTCATGCTCTTCCTCCTCAAACTCCCTCTCCAGCTTCTAAACCTTTTTATACCTGCTGTTCCCACTGCCTGGCTTGAGACATTTACTGGGCTCACCCACTTCCTCACTGCACTCAGGTCTCGGATGAAACATTCCTTCTTCAGAAGGGCCTTTGGGCTCCCTACCCTTCACCTGGCTTTCTTGTTTTTCCTATCAATCAACACACGTGGCACATTTTATTTTATTACTGCCTGATTCCAGCACCAGATTCAAGGCCCCAAGGGACCTGGATGTGTTTCAGTTTTTCAAGATTTTATTTATTTATTTGACAGAGGGAGAGAGAGGGAACACAGCAGGGGAGTAGGAGAGGGAGAAGCAGGCTTCCCGCCGAGCAGGGAGCCTGATGCGGGGCTCGATCCCAGGACCCTGGGATCATGACCTGAGCCGAAGGCAGACGCTTAAGGACTGAGCCACCCAGGTGCCCCAGGGACTGGGATGTTTTAATTGTTTTGGTCACACTGCATCCCAGCACCATGCACAACACTTGGCACAAGTGTGGGCTCAATAAATATTAAGTGAGCTGAGCTGTCTGCTGATGACTCTTAAACCTCTGGGTTCTGCCTCAGGGGGAAAAAAGCACCCTCTCTGTTCATTCAGGAAGCAGGCGATGACATGGTGACCAGAGCCGTAGTCCCCTCCCCTCAAGCAGTTCATGTGTCCCATACAGGATGATGGAGATGCCACTCCTGACCCTAGAGAGTAGGGAAGGTTCATGGGAATCTTGCAAAACTTTATCTGTAAGACAGAGATATGGTGATAACACAGTGCCCACCAAAGAGAGCTGGAAAGAATAAATGACTTAATACACACAAAGCACTTCCCTCAACACACTTCCTGGCACACAGTTTGAATATGAGTATTCAAATGAGGGGACGGAGAGTCCCCCTGCCCTCCCTCTTAGGGAAGACACCACTAGGCCTAAGAGACTCTCAACCCAGGCCTGATGGAACAGAGATCCGAGAAGTGTGGCCATGGCAGGGGGCACCGGGGGCATGAGTGTAAACTTTCAGGCCCAGGTACTCAAAACGTATCTTAATTCATTTCAGGTCCTGGGGAGCTTCCAACAATGTACTAAAAGTACCCACTCCTCAGGGAAACTACATGTTCACACACAGTTTTCCAGAAGTTTTGGGAGGAGGTTCCATGGACCCCCTGGTTTAAACCTTGCTCTCCTCCCACAATCTTCCCCATCTCAAAAACTGGACACTATCCTTCCAGTTACACAAGCCCAAACCCTGAGGGATCCTTGACCCCTCTCTTATACCCACATACAAGCTGCTGGCTCTATCTTCAAAATACATTTCCAAACCATGACAATGTGTCAGGCGGGTCCACTGCTACCACCCTGGTCCAAGCCACATCACCTCCTCCCAGATCACAGCAACAAGCTTCCCACTGATGCACCTGCTTCCACTTCTACTCCCCTGAAGTCCTTTACACACACAAGCCAGAAGGATCCTTTTAAATGCATCCATCAGGGGCGCCTGCATGGCTCAGTCATTGGGCGTCTGCCTTCCGCTCAGGTTGTGATCCCGGGGTCCTGGGATGGAGCCCCGTATTGGGCTCCCTGCTCTGCAGGAAGCCTGCTTCTCCCTCTCCCACTCCCCCTGCTTGTGTTCCTGCTCTCGCTATCTCTCTCTGTCAAATAAATAAATAAAATCTTTGAAAAAAATATTAAAAAAAGTAAAAAAAATAAATGTGTCCATTAGACTCCATCATATACCTGCTCACAATCTCCCCAAGTCTTCTTCTCTCAGACTCAAATCCTTAGGGGAGAGCTGACTCTTTTAACAACTTCTGCAACTTTATATCCTAACACAATGAGGGAAGGGTTGGGAGGAAGGTGTATCCTCCATTTCTGGGGGAATCAGATTATAGGGTGCCTGCAGGCATGCCAGGGTCTGATGGAGATACACAGTCCAGCACCACGCCCCCCCCATTTCAACAGATCTCCAAATGCTGAAGAAAAAGGGAGTTTGGGAGCGGATACGTGGATCCACAAACCCAGCCGCCCCCCGCCCCCACCAAATGACCCCATCTCTCCACACATGGAGGGAAAAGAAAAGGGAAGAAAAACGAAGACCTGCACTAAGAAACAGACTTTATGGGTCACAGTGGGAAGATTTCCCCAAACGCTAGAGGAGCAAGTTGTGGGGAGGGGCACGACCTGATGGCCTGATTTAGAAAGACCTGAGACACCAGGGAGAAAGACCCTAATTTTGTTCCTCTTGAGAACCATAAAGCTAACAATTAGAGACAATACTATTATGTTGTATTTCCCTGTGCTATTTCCCCCCAGTTTTCTTGAGATATAACTGACACATAACATCGTGTAAGGCTACTGTGTACAACCTGTTGATTTGTACATTTAAATACCGCAAAAAGATTACAATATACTATTTTTTCTTAACACGATCTTGCTAAATCAGGAGCCATTTTACTCTTAAGAAAACAGACTCAGAGGGTAAAGCCACTTGCCCAAGGTCACACAGTAGCTTAAGAAGCAAAGCTAGTACTGAAACTTTGAACTAAGACCTTTCTGCTGTCAAAGCCAGGACTCTCATCAATCTGCCACGAGGGAGGTGGGGTGGGCTCATCAGAATCTCGGGGAAAATCACATGAATAAAATCACTCATGTCCTGTGACTATCTCCCTCCCCCACCCCATGCTAAGCCCATCTTGGGCTTGTGAAGGTTCATCTCACCGCGACTTGAGAATCACAATCACTCAAATCTCAGAGACCCGCCTCTCCGGAGAGTAGAGAGCGGGAAAGTGGGACAGAGAAGGCCACACACTATCAAACCGGGAGTCCTAATTCACTTGGGCCCTCTCTGAGAAGCCTGGTCTGGGAGCTGAGGGAACGGTCATTGTGGCGGTGATACGGGAGGCAAACGGGGGTCCTCTCCGACCCCAAATCGGGACTCTTCACCTGTGAACCAGGACATTATCCCCAAATCCCACGGCCTGAGATCCAAGCCCCCAGATGCCTGGATCCAGACTCTGGGTCAATGCTCCCGACTGCCACCCCCAGCCCAATAACCAAGATCCCTAATCACGGTCTCAATGAGATGAATCCTAGTTCAGGAACCCCCCATTCCAGGCCCAAGACCCTCGACTCACGACCGCAACCTCCGAAGCCGGCCACAGACCTCCAGACCAGGAACCCGAACCCCCGACTCAGCATCCATCACAGGGCGGAACCAAGCCCGCCTTTCCACAGGAGACAGGAACCAGGACCCCGACCCCACAAGGGACCGGATCTCCTGCCCCTAGGCCCCGCCCCCCCGACTCCGGTCTGGCACCCCGATTCCCGCCGGCCCCAGTCCCTGACCCCGGACCCCAACCCCGGCCTGCACCTGGCTTCATGGCGAGAGCTCAGCTCCCCGGCTCCGGACTCTGCGGCGTCCCAGACTACACGAGTCCTGTGCTTTCGCACGTGGAAAGGAGCGCACGCGCGGCGACGTACGGCGCGTGACGCAACTTCGCAACCCCGCCCCTCGGAGCCCCGGCTGCGCCCGCGGCCTAGCGCGCGCGCTGTAGGCGGGGTTTCGCAAGCCTCTCGGGGCCCCACCCCCCTCGGCCGCTTTGGCGCTGTCTTTACGCGCTGCTCGCGCAGAGATCGCTAAGGTGATCGCGCTTCCCGCTGCCACTTCACGCGTGCAAGCCTCCCGGTAATCAGGGTTCATCAGCAGGCCTTCGCACGCCCTGTGCCCTCTTCCCGTCTTCTCTATTTCTTTCTTTCTTTTTTTTTTTTTTTAAGATTTTATTTATTTACTTGACAGAGAAAGCACAAGCGGGGGGAGCGGCAGAGGAGAAGGAGAAGCAGGCTCCCGGCTGAGCAGGGAGCCCGATGTGGGGCTTGGTCCCAGGACCCTGGGAACATGAGCTGAACCACCCAGGCACCGCATCTCTTCACTATTTCTAATTAACTTCCTAAGGTCCCCTCTACACCCAAAAGCTTTCCCTGATCCATTCCCTCCCTAAGAACAGGGAAGACTCTGGGCTCGCATTCATGCACTTGATAAGCATTTATGCACCGAGCACTGTTCTATGCGCTGAGAATATAGCAATGAACAACACATGCAAATCCCCACCCTTCCGGAGTTCATCTTCTAGTGGGAGAAACAGATACCAACCAAGATATTAGAAGGCAATAAAAGTGCTTTGGAGGAAATAGCAGGGAAGGAAGATAGGACTGTTGGAGGAGGGGTGACATTTCTTAATCCGTGGTCAAAGAATGCATCAGGTAACTTGAGCAGAACTAAAAGAGGTAAGGAGTGAGGTATGCACCTATCTGGGGAAAGAAAGTTCTAGGTAGTGAGGATTGTATGTGCAAAGGGCCTGGGGCAGGGAAAGTATGGAGGGTCGAGAAGCAGTGAGGGGTGTGGTTGGGGCAGAGTTAGCAGGCAGAATGGAAGGAGATGAGAGCAGGGAAAATTGTGTGGGGCCTTGTGTGCCACGGGGAGGACTTTGGCTTTTACTTCTGAATGAGCTGGAGCTATGGAAGGTTCTTGAAGAGAGAAGAGCTGTGATCTGGCATGGGAGCACTCTGTCTGTAGGTGGGAAACAGGGTGTGGGAGTGGCGGTGAGAGCAGGAAGACCAAGAAGGAGGCTGCTGCAGTGAATCAGGTAGCAGACAAGGATGGACAAGATCAGGGTGCAGGCGCAGAGCAAGGAGGGAGCAGTGAGCAGATTCTGCATAAGTATTGGGAATTTTGTGCCTTGTAGTTTTATAATATTAACATTTAGCTTCATATTCATTCCACAAAGCAAAACAAGTGCTACTCTGAGAAATTACTAAAAACCTCCAGGAGAATGCACTGGTCTGTTCCATTCATTGCTGTATCACCCAGTACCTAGAACAAGGCCTGGCCCAGAGTGAGTGCTTCCTTTGGTTGTTCTCTCTCTCTCTCTGTCTTTCTCTCTCTCATACACACACACTGGCCAAGAATTTTCAGAGATTATGATTTTATTCATTTTAAAACTTTTTTTTTTAAAGTACGACATGCTTACAGAAAAGTGCATGCAACTGTACAGCTTTACGAGTTATCACAAAGGAAAGGACCCATACTACCACCACCCAACCCACAAACAGAACATTACGAGTACTCTAAGAGCCCCCCTGTGACCCTTACGTCTCTTTCATTATGTACCCTGTTCCCACTTTGCTTTCTTCACTAAACATACCCTGGAGATCAGCACAGTACAGTGTATACAAATATGCCTTATTTTACCTTCATCTGCAGAGTTGTCCATCATGTAGATCAACTAGTTCCCCTACTGATGGACATCTGAATTGTCTTTTTTTTTTTTTAATTGCAGGGTTGTTGTGAAGCTCAGAAATACTATAGATGAATACCCTGACATATTGAATTATTCAACAATGTACATTTCTTTTTCTGTCAATTGCCTGTGTATATCCTCCACTCATTTTTTTTTCCTAATCAGACTTATTCATTTGAAGGAGCTCTCTACATATTGTGGATATAACTCTTTACTAGGTATGTTGCAAATCTTTCCTCCAGGTTAATCATTGGCCATTTATTCATTCAACAAATATGTACTGAGCATCTACTATGTGCTACGTGCTGGGAATAAAGTGGTGAATGAGGCAGATGTAGTTTCTGCCTTTGAGTTACTTCTAATTGGGCAGAAATTCAAATAAAAGTTATCTTAAAGTGTAATAAATGCTAGGAAGGAAAGAAGCAAGCAGGCAAGCGTCTGGGACAGAGGGTAACAGAGGGAATCCACTTTAAGTGAGGTGGCTGTGGAAGGCCTCTCTAAGGTAATAACATGTAAGCTGACATTTGAAGGATGAGAAGCAGCTAGTCATGTGGCAAGTGGAAAGAACAGCATATCGCAAAGGAGAGAAGTGGGAAAATTTGTCATGTTCAGTACATTGAAAGATCAGGTTCCCGAATCATAATTGGCAAGGACAGCGATTGGAAATGAGTCAGAAGAGGTGGACAGAGGACTTATAGGATGAGGTGAAGAATTTGATTTTATTGCAAGAGAAATTTATAGCCAATGGTCCCCCTTATACATAAGAAGAGTCGAGTAACGGTGAGAATGTATTACAAAAGGGGAAGAGCAGATAGGAGGCTGTTGGCATTGTTAGCATGAATGAGGGTGATGGTTGCACCAGGTGGGCGTAAGAAAGGCAGAATTCAGGTATGCTTTGATACAACCCAACAGGATTTGTTGATGAACTGCGTGGGGGGCAACGGGAGGGAAGAATCAAGAACGATCCCTATTTTCTGACTGCTACAGTGAGTATTGGCAGTGCTGTTCACGGAGGTGGGGAAGGCCATCATGGGAAGGGTGGGGGACAGGGTTGGAAAGTTCAAATTTTGACTTGTGGATTGGATGGACACATTAAATCCTCACTCCAACTCTCTGAGGTATGTACTTTCATGAACTCTGCTTTAAATATGATGCTGTTGGGGCACCTGGGTGGCTCAGTCAGTTAAACATCTGAATACTTAAGCATCTGAATGCAAACCCTTGGTTTGGCTCCGGTCATGATCTCAAGATCTTGAGATGGGAGCCCCAAATCATGCTCTGTGCTCAACAGGGAGTCTGCTTGAGATTCTCTCCTTCTCCCTTTCCCTCTCCCACTGCCCCTTCCCCTGATCACATGCTTTCTCTTAAATAGATACATACATACATACATACATACATACATACATACATACATGAGATGGTTTTGAGCGAATGTTTGAGTTCCTTCAAAATTCTTATGTTGGAACCTAATCCCCAATGTGACAGTATTTGGAGGTGGGGCCTTCGAGAGGTGATTGGGTCATGAGGGTGGAGCCCTCATGAATGAAATTAGTGCCTTTATAAAAAGGTCCCAAAGGGCCCCCTTGCCCCTCTGCAATGTGAGGACACAAGAGAAGACAGCCAACTATGAACCAGGGAGAGGGCTCTCGCCAGGCACCGAGTCCACTGGTGCCTTGATCTTGGACTTTTCAGCCTCCAGAACTGAGAAATAAATTTCTGCTGTTTATAAGTCATCCATTCTATGGTATTTTGTTATAACAGCTGCACAGACTAAGACATAGGAGGAAACTGAGTGACAGCGAAATTAACTTGTTGGATTATAAATGATAAAGCTAGAATCTATTCATCCCTCTTTCCATTTTTGACTCCTTCCCTCCATCCAATTGTTTTCCTTCTCTTCATCTACTCTTTTAATTACCCCGTCCTTATCTTCCCATTTCTCCACCCCATCCACGCATCCATGTCTCCTTCTTCCCTCCCTCCCTTTACTCTCCCTTCTACCCACCCATAATCCATCCACCCATCCATCCATCCATCCATCCATCC